ATACTAATTTTTTAATATATATCGGTCAAAGGTGAAAAAAAAAAAAAAAAAAAATATCAATTGCAAAAATAAAAAATATGTTAATATAACAAAGTATTTAATAGTATATCTTTAATTTGTTATAATCATATAATAATAATTTAAGTTTGACAAAAATGCTAAATGATTAGTAAACCCTGGGCTTTAAATGACTGGTCATTTTAAACCAAAATGACCAGTATAAACAAGTTTTTTCTGGGTCATATAACCACTGGTCATTTTAATTAAAAATGACCAGAGTTTAAAAAAGAACGATCAAACAAGGTCAAATAATTGCTTTTTTTTAGTTTGCGAATACGATTAAAAAGAAATGATTTGAGAATCTTGGAAAAAGTAAAAAAAAAAAAAAAAAATGAAAAAAATCACAATTTCGAATGACCAGTATTAAAAATATTGATGACCACTATTCAAAAAGTTTATCAAATTGATAAGAACTCGTTATAAGTAATCATCCAAAATGACCAGTATTAACATAGATGCCACATTACTTTTAGTGAAAAAGTTTGATTGGCAAATAACGTACAATCACACTCCGACCATTTAAAGCCCAGGAAAACCTATTAAAAAATAAAATATTTTTCTCAATATGTAAATAAATTAACATAGAGAGGTGCGAGAACTAGAATTTTTTTTAAAAAAAACAATCAAACTTATGTTAATATTTTAATATCATATAAAAAACAATCAAACTTATATAAGCATACGAAGACAAAAAATAAAATTTATTCAGCAGTTTTGTACGTTGGAGGCCATTCTTTTTATTTATACCCAAGGTTTAGAAATTTTCAATGAATAAATGATCATGCTTAAGAAAAAGTGAATAAAGAGATTTTGTTTATTCATGGCAGTATCTTGGTAAAATTAATTCTAAATCGTTTGCCTTGTGCAAATTTGTAAGTATAAACCAAATAATTAATACATATTTCTTTTTTGGTCGTAATAATCAGACTTATTATATTTTTAGACTTGTTATTCTCCGATTCTCGAGATCGATAATTGACTTTTTGATATCGATACATAAATATGCACAGATTCTCGAGATCGATTTCAGAGATCGAGAATTTTTTTTCTCAGCTTTTGATATCAGAATTTTCAATTAAACTTTTTGATAAATATATGATCGTATTTTAATCACAAATATTTCATAAAAAAAGAATGTATTTTTTGATTTTAATCTTTAAATAAACATCAATGCATTATATTATTTATTTTTAAATATTTTAAAATCAAAAATACCAATTATAAAAAAAGATAAATATGTTTGAGATCTCGAGATCTCGGTAATTGATATCAAGTTTACAATTATTTTCATATCACATTTCATATCTGATATCTTGATAATCGATAATCTCGATATCTGATTTTTAAACTGATAATCGAGTATCAGATGAAAAAAAGTGACGTTTTTGATATCGATAGTCAAAATAACAAGTCTACATATTTTAATAATAATAAATATTTCTCTGGTTTATTTTTAATTTAAAGAAGTAAAATTTCAAGTTAAGCATATAATCATACAATAGAATTTATTATTGGCATATAAAAAAAAAATTTCTTTTAATATTTTAATAATATCAATTCATGACAAAAAAATTAACAAAAAAAAGAGTCTGAAGCAATCAGATTTATTATCATCTTAAAAGTAATAAACTAGCTTACCGATTAATAAGTTTATATGATTAAACAATGTGTGTTTTTAAGGACAATTAAATAGGTTAACAAAAAATACGTTATATTATATATATAAAAAAGTAGCAACAATCTTTTTTATTATTTTCATTTTCTTTGTTTAGAATGGACTTATCTATTCCATTATTGCCATTTGTTTTTAAACATTCTGATCCTATAAGTTCAATTAATTCTTTAATATTAATATTGTCCTTTGCACTTGTTTTGATGAAAGCCATGTTTAAAGACTTTGCTTTCTCTTTTCCCTCAGAATCTGTCACTTGGTTGGGATATAATCCCTCAAGATCTGATTTATTTGCAACAAGCACATAACATACTTTATCTTTATCGATATGGTTCAAAACAAAATCATGCCATTCTTCAATAGATTCATATGTATTTTTTTCATTCAATGAGTATACAAAAATGATAGCATTTGATCCTCGAATAAAAAAAGGAGTTGTATTGCGATAACTAGTTTGCCCAGGCGTATCCCAAACATTAAGATTGACCTCTTGGGAATCAATATTCACAGTAATTGTTTCACCTGTAGGGCTAATTGTTGGTTTATTAGCTCCAAAATATTCACTTGATGTAGCTCTTTGTATAATACTTGTTTTTCCAACATTTGGATCACCAACAAATACAACTTTAAACGACAAAGGCTGAGGTTCTTCAGACATTTGAAAATTTTTGGAAAAGTTATAAATTGGTCAACTAATTGAATACTCATAAAATCGAATATAATTTTGTTTTATTTTTAAATTATCTTTGTCTATATTGAAATTTTAAGCTGCAAACATATTTAATTATGATAACAAAATATAATATTAAAATAAAATTATTTTATACTTAATAATTGCCGAGTTTTATTTATAAAGTAAAATTGACCTTCCTCTAAAAAAAATATACCATTTTACACCATAAAATATTAAAGCCTATATAAATTTGCTTTTAGATTTCAAATTCATATATATTATTGGCCTCATAGCAATTGCAAAATATAAAAAAAATCATTATATCTATCATTGGCCTCATATTATCTTTTAATATTTACATAATCAATGGAATAATTTGAAACACATATTTATTTTTTTTTTGAATTGATAGTTTACAAAGTTAAGGTTAAATAGTCTTTAAAGACTATTGTCTATGGATATATTACTGAAATTTTTGTAAAATGTATAAGATTCTTAATGTATATCATTGAATGCCAAACAATCTTGGCTGAAGTTATATTTTGACATTAAATAATGCCAACTATTAATCTAAATATTTGCATGCAATCAAGTTTTTTCATTAAATCAAAATGAAAATGAGATTTTCCATGTTTTGAAAAAAATTCCAAGTTTATATTTTTCAGCAATAGAATACAATATCTTTGTTTTTTTTTTTTTTTTTTTTTCAGAGTTCATACATCTGGATAAAAGTAAAAAGAATTTTTAATTCAAAAAATTTTTGGATATATTCAAAATTTTTTTTTCATTTGAAACAATAATTTTTATTCAAAATAAAAAATTTTCATAAAAATTTTTTAAATTTTTAGAATTTTGACTTCATTTTTGATTAATGGCCTTTGAATTAACTGATAAAAACATAATTAGCAATGTTATTTCTGATATTTATTCCAAATTTAACAAAAATCGAGGGAAAACTCCTCAAGTATTATTCGATATTAAAGATGGTATAAGAATTATTGAAAAAGTTATTCCTATTCTTCAAAAACAACCTTCAGTTTTGAATTTTAATATAGAAGATGAAAATAAAATACATGTTATTGGCGATATTCACGGGAATCTGGAATCATTGATAGCTATATTCCGACAATTTGGAAGCCCAGAAACAGCCAAATACTTATTCTTAGGTGACTATGTTGATCGAGGTAGAAACAGCTCCGAAGTTATGATTATTTTATATGCATATAAAATATTATATCCCAATAACATATTTTTAATGCGAGGAAATCACGAATTTGTAAATATGACAGACCATTATGGTTTCAAAGAAGAATGCTACAAAAGGATAACAATAATCATCAAAGGCAAAATTAAATCAGCGGGTCCATTTTTCTACTCACAAATTGTCAAAACCTTCGAATACCTGTCAATCCTCGCAATTATCAATGGTGAAACATTATGTGTACACGGAGGTATCAGTGCCCTAATCAAAAATCGAGATGAATTAATGAAGATCAAAAAAGTCGGATCAGATTTCACAATGGAAAGCAGTGCCCAAGCAGAGTTACTTTGGAATGATCCAAACAATGATATTTCCTCCTATGAAGCAAGCCCAAGAGGCATCGGTTGCACATTTGGTGAATATGCATTAGAAACATTCTTGAAAAATATGCAATTAAAAAGAGTTATCCGTGCACACCAAAACGAATTTAACGGTTTTAATTGGCCTTTTGGTGAAAATGGTGGTATTTTGACTGTTTTCAGCTCCGTTGACTATTGCGGAACTTTTAATGAAGGAGCTGTTGCGGTTGTATCAGGGAATGGTGAAATAGAAACGCAGCATATCATAATCAAAAAGCTTGTTTTCCCTCCACCAGAAATCGTAAAGAACAATTTTGTTTTCTTGGATGACATAAGATCCCCAAGTTTGAACATCGACAATATTCCAAGATTAGTTGAATACTAAACCAAAAGTTACCAATTTTAGTGATAAATAAATTTGTTATTATTTGACTTTTTTATTTCTTTTTATCTGAAAAAGTGAATAATCAGCATTAAAAATTTAAATGTTCTAAAACTTTGGTTTTAGCCTAAATTCTGAACCGAGCCTATTTCTAAATTATATTTTTGGCATTATTCACTCATTTATCTGGGATTGATTGAACCAAAAGAAAGAAATATTTGATGCTTTTTAAAAGAATTATTTAGGAATAATTCACAATTTATTGTTATGTCAATAAATTTAAAACAATTGCTTCTTGATTTCATTTTGAAATTATTCTCATCAAAAATCCAAAAAATGCTCCCGACGGGAATCTAACCCGCGACACTCGGATTAAAAGTCCGATGCTCTAGCCGACTGAGCTACGAAAGCTTCATATCTTTTCATGTAATATTATAGTAATAATTATTTATATTTTTTTAAAAAAAAAATATATTTAAAATTCTTTTTAATATTATGATCTTTAAGTGTATTAGATTTATACCTTAATATTCTCTCCTTTGATATTGATACAAATATTTTAATTCATTTTTTAACGCTTTTCAACAATTCTTATTATTCATTATTTGAAAAAAAAAAAAACAAATATATATTATGTTGACAAATAAAAGAAAGAGGGATTAGTCTAGTGGTAAGGCACTTGCTCAGGGAGTAAGGATTCCCAGGTTCGATTCCTGGATCTCTCATTTTTTGTTCTAATAAAAATTTTATTCGAGACTTTGTTTCTTGAAGAGATAATTTCCTCTCATTTAGTTTTATTTCATATTGCATATGACCTAACAATAGAGATAATCTTTTTTTGTTGAATGCTGAATGAGTGGATAACGCAATTTTTTTTTATCATATCGTATATCATATAGTATATATTTATAGATGCCTGAAAAAGTTGCCGACGACAGGAAAAAGTTGCCAACGGTGGCCTTAAAAGCATTTTTTCAGCATTTAAACAATACGATATAAAAAAGAAATCATTGTTTCATTATTTGTTGCATTTTAAATTATAAAAAAATGTTTATGTTTCATTTTTTTAAACAAATTTTGTTAAATTTTTTAAAAATTTTTATGTTAACTTTTTCTTAGCATTTCAATTGAGAATTGAATATAAGATATATATATATATCTTCATATTTTTTTAATTATTACTTTTTATTACATATTAATAATATTTAATATAATTTAAATATAATTAATTATAACTTTCATTTAAATATATCCTTAAAAAGGTCATCGTTGGCAACTATTTCCCGCCGTTGGCAACTTTTTCCCGCCACTTTATTTCTTATTTTGATTTTTTTAATTTTTTTTTTGTTTATTTTGATTTTTTTTCGGTCAAAAAGTTTCCTCAATTTGATAGAGTGAAAAATAATCATGAACTTTTTCTTGGCAAAAAAAAAAAAAACATAACTTTTTCTTAAAGATAAAAAATAAAATAACTTTTTGATGCATGATGTTTATGACAAGAGAAACCAAATTGACCCTCAATTATTTTTCTATTTATTTTAATCGTTTGTTTTTATAGAATACTTGCTTAAAATAGAACAACGTTCTTGAAAGAAAAATATATTATTACGCCATTATCATCTAAACCATAGACACTTTTTGAGCAAAGCTCAAAAAGTGGCGTTTCTTGCAATTTCCTCTAATCAGATATTCAAATATCAAAACCAGCTATAACCAAGTTATTACATATCCAAAATGAATCTTATGCTTGGATACTTTTTGAGCGAAGCTCAAAAAGTGGCCTTTTATTATTTTCAAATTAGATTTCTTTTCAAAACTTAAACAAATCAACTTTCATGAAGAAAATAAAAGAAATATTGTACCTAATAGATCCCAAGAATGACAACTTTTTGAGCAAAGCTCAAAAAGTTGTCATTAAATGATATTATTTATTAATTGAATTTCAAAACAAAAAACATTTATGTATGTTCAAAAATTATTGTTTATTAAATGATTTATGATTATATCGCGCGTTAGTTTTCTTGTTTTTTTTTTTAGATCTAATAATATTGTCACATTTAGTTAATCAAAATAGGTGTATATAATTTTTTTAGTAGTAAAAACATATTTTATAAAATATTTTAATAAAATAAAAATATGATTATCCATTGTTTACAAGATATGACTAATATATATTAAAACGGATTTTAAAAATTTTAAAATTTTAGTATAAAATGGAGGCAAGATCATTTATACTTTCATCAGCTGGTTTGAAAAATGTTGTTAAAGACAAAGATGAATTTACTTTCATTTTTGGAGACCATAAAATCAGCATGAACGCGATATTTGCTGAATTTATTTCACCAATTGTATCGCATCTTCATATTTCAGATCCGACAATAAGCTCATTTCAATTTAATTGCAATATAAATTCTGAATTAAACGAAAAATTTGGTTCTTCTTCAAAACTTGGGGAACTATTTACAGAAGATATAATCGAACTTTTCAAGAATCTTTCCAGCGGGATTCCAATTTCTATTAATGAAGATCAATGTACCAAATTACGTATAATCTCTATTTTTCTTTGTAATGAAGAGCTTTTTCAACAATTATCCAAGTTTCATCCTTTTGAAATAAACTTATCAAATATTGATCGTTGTTTATCAGAAATCCAATTCATGGAAAATATTTCTAATCCATCAAATGAAACGAAAATATTATCAACAACTCTATTAGACTTTATTTCAAGCAATTTTTATTTAATTGACCAAAAAAAATTGAGAGAATTGTCATTTTCAGTTCTTTTTTTAATCATTCAAAACAAAAAGTTGAAAATTGAGAGTGAAGACTCATTATTTAATTTCATTAAAGAACTTTTCAATGATAAAAAGGATAACAATTTTACAATTATTGATTTTCTGGAAATGATTGAAGTGAAGAAGTTGAGTAATGAAAAATTTTCTGAGTTCATTCAAATTATTAATTTTAATGAAATTACTGGAAATTTGTGGATGAACATTTGTAGTAGGTTTTGTACAAATGAAACATCAAATGATGATCCATCAGAAAGATATTATTTCATTCCAGGCAAGAGTTATTTGTATGATGGAAACAAGTCACACAGTTTTGAAGGAATTATCAATCAAATCACAAAAGAAGTTGGTGGAAATGTGAATGATAAAGGTGCTGTTATTGTAACAGCATCATCACAATCAAACACATCTGATTATCCAAAGCATGCTGTCGATTTGCATAATAAAGTAAGTTACTTCATAACTAACAACGTTGAAAATTCATGGATCAAATATGACTTCAAAAATAAAAAAGTGAGACCTACTCATTATTCAATAATGTCAGAACCGTTTGATAAAGGTAATTCTCATTTGAAGAACTGGGTAATTGAAGGTTCAAATAATAATGATGATTGGAACGTCTTGGACTCAAAAAGTGGAATAACTGATCTTGATAATAAAAGTGTTTTCAAAACCTTTAAAATTAATAAAGAACTTAAATGCAATGAATATTATAGATACTTGAGACTTAGAATAACAGGACCAAGCGCAAGTGGAAAGAATATTTTGAGTTTGGCAGCACTTGAATATTTCGGTTCAATTACGGAATCTAATATTTAATAAACATAAAATTTTTTTATCTTATATTTTCATTCTAAACAAATCCCAAAATGAATGTTTTTTTATAGCAAAAAAAAAAGTTAATTAAATGAATACATTCAAAACAACACAGGTGTGTCGCTTTCTTTCTTAAGAAAACTGTCAAAATTTTGGGAACATCTAATTAAAAAATTATTTCATCTTTTGTTTTACATAATAAATCTGAAACTCAAAATCAACAGTAAAAAGAAAAATCAGAATCAGAACCAGAAATATTGAAAGAACGAGAATCGAATGAATCACGATTCACATTCAAATTTCAGCAACCATCGATCAGCAACGTTTTTGTCTCTTATTTTGGAGGAACAAGAATTGAGTCCAGCGAACCATTAAACGCGGACATGGAATATTTCTCGCCAGTCAGAATGGCCAGCATCAAATCAGAATAATCAGCTGCCATTTTCATTTTCAAGAGAGGTAAAATCCGCATCAGGAGGAATCTCTTCTGTATTCAGAGATTCAGGAAAAGCGATTTTAGCTCACAGTAACGAAGGAGGAGAAGTATCAATCGGCACCGAATTTTCAAAAGAAGAGAAACAAAGCACGAATTCCACTTCAAAATTGACCACTTTTGAAATTTCATCCAAAAGAGACAAAAGAATCATTTCCATATGTGATTGTTTCTAACGAATCAGATGAAGTAAAAGTAAAGATTGACCAGCGGGGAGATGAAAAAGAAGAAAAGACAGAAAATGTAACTAACAGTCCAGCATTTGGAACATTTGGATCTCTCGGAATCATTGAGGGGGAATCAGAATGAATAGAAGCAATAAAGAAAGAAGAAGAAGAGAGAGAAAGAGAAATTTCCCCACATAATAAGACGAAGGGCCACAAAAATGTTAAAAATATTAAGAGAAGGAAGCATAAGACAGAATTAAAAGAAGATATAGATGATATGAACGAAAATGAGAATAGACCTTTCATAAGCGAATGAATGAATTTTATGAATCTAAGAGAATTAGTGAATTGTAATGAAATGATTTATCAGTCACCATTTATCTTTGATCCAATGATTCCACAAATGATGCAGCAACAACAGTGGCTTCATCTCACACAAATGACACAAATGATGCAGATGCAAATGCATATGGCACCACTTATGCCATCATGCTATGTCAATCAGATTCCTTTCGATATTAAAATTGAATATTCTTATTTCTGATTTGTTGAATCATTGTTCTTTTCGTCAATCAGAAATAAGAATAAGAAAATATGAATAAGAAATAAGAATAAGAATAAGAATAATAAAAGAAATAGACCAAGAACTAAAGATGAAAAGAATAATAAAACTAAAGAAATATTTTATTGTATAATAAATTTTTTTGAATAATCACAAAAAAATTAAAGGAGTAGTAATCCGACATCGTTCAGCGGTTAGGATACGTGGTTTTCATCCACGGGATCGGGGTTCGACTCCCCGTGTCGGAATGATTTTTTTGCCAAATAATCAAACCAATCTATAATCATTTATCAATTTGCACCATCATAAATTTAACTTTAATATATATCAATATTCAATAAAAAAAAAGTCATGATCGAATAAAAAAGCTATTCATATATATATAATAAATTCAAGGGATAACTCTTGTGCTAAATTTAGTGCTCAAAGTCTTGTTTTTTGTCAATTCATTAGAAAAGAAATGATTTTTACTTTCATCTTTTAATAATCTTGACTAATAATATAAATAGATCTAAATATATGTGATTTTAAATAATAAAATTATGTTTAGTTAAATGAATTGATTTAAATTGATTGTCTTAATCATATTGAATTTGTTATTCAAAGAATTCAACAATCGATCTTTCATCATATATAATCACTTAATGGAGAGGAGGCAATTTGGAAGTAGTTTTGGTTGGTTTGTTGGGAATTTGAGGAATCTTTGCTTTGTTATGTTTAACAAATGCTTCAACGTTTTTGATTCCACTCTTATTAAATTGAATCAAATTGTAGTGATTTCTTTCCACGTTATCAAGAATAACTTCAAAGTTTGGTCGATCTTTTCTTCCAAAGTTCCAGCAGGCATTGATCAGCTTCTTTGAGAAGTCAGTGAATGAAGAAGGAAGTTCCGCTT